CACTTCCCTCTCATTCCCAACTCTCCCGTCCGGCCCATAACTGCCCTGGATTACTCTTCTTTTAGTGAGCCTGATCAAGCCCAAACTTCACCCATGTCCGCTGCCTCACTCTCAAATCACACTCTGTTCGGCCCTGTTGCTCAGTCTGAGCCCACTAACTGTCGTCTATGTGCTAACCATCTTGTTGAGCCCATGCAGGTTGAGACCACCGCTGCCTTGGAGCCGCTAGCCCAATCCGCTAGCTCCCCACTCTCAATTCCTGATACTCGCGAGCCCAGCATGCCCCTGCTGCACAGCCACCCCTGGCTCAGTCCGCGACTGCCAATCCAACACCAACCGCTCCTCTTTCCTCTCATCCGATGGTCACCCGTGCCAAAGCAAATACTCTCATGGTTGTTATCACAGGGGCACAGAGGGCAACTTGTGGAAGCTTCTAGAAGGCTCGGAGGCTTGATACTAGAAGAGTCGGGCCAAAGAATAGAGTTACTGGCAGTCTTAGAGCATCACCTTCCTCCACTTTTGCTTAATGCACCAACTGCCACTTAGCTATACAGAAACTCAAGATTTTGGAACCAACCCCAACCCCCCTTCTCTCCTCCATATTATAGATAATAATGACATAAGATCTGGGTTGAAGATGATCAAGTCCAAGAGGTTTGTCAATTTCCTTATCTGTGTAGGTGGCTACTGCCTCGGCTCATACAAAGCATACTTAGATGTGGCTGTAAAAGCCACGTCCGAGAGAAACTGCTATTTAAATGATTTTCTATGTGCTGGGCATGTATATTGGCTAGTTCGTCTTTGTTGTAACTTGATTCTGCCAATTTCATCTCCATGGATATGATGGTATACATTGTGCTGGATGAATCGCGTTGTTTGACAGTACAGTCGACTCGAAGGTAAACGAAACTTGTCAAATAGAAGTCTTCTATGCCGACATTCAGTTAAAACAAAGATATTTTAAAGCAAACATTAGTGTTCACTCAGGGAGAAGGTGATTAATATGAAACTCGGCCATTAAGTTTCCTTGGGACCATGTTTTTACATTAATTTAATTAAATTTGGAACTTAGAATAACGTAGAAAGTGGGCTGTTTTTACTGTGTTTTTTGTTCTCAACTATATGAGTGCCTCGATATGCGGATAAGCAGATTTAGACACTATATAAGCTGAGTAAGAGTAAGAGTAAAGTACTTAAAAAGGCAAGCCGATGCCATGCAGGCAACGGGTTGGCCAGAGCCAAGGCTCGTTCAAAGATGAGCTGTGAGTGGGGCCAGCTCGGGCTTATACGGGCTGGCCAAGGTGTAGGAAATAAAACCATAATGTT